ATACAAGACCTTTCTCAGTCTAATCTTCACCTTCCTCTCATCCCATACCTTCATCTATATCAGGCTTTGTAGCTTAGATTTGTAACCATTACATGAAAGAAGCAGAATTTATGGAAGGTTCTTATAATCCGTTTTATTTTTTTCTTCCATTATCCATTTAAATGTATACTATGGTGTTAGTTCTTCCTCCAACTCCTTGAAAGTCAAGTCTTAGTAACTTTTCAGGTTACTTTCAGAAAATGAAAGCATTATTTTCAAGAACTAATAAACTTGGGGTGCCTAGGTGGCTCAGTCATTAGGCATCTGCCTTCGGCTCAGGTCATGATCCCAGGGTCCTGGAATCAAGCCCTGCATGGGGCTCCCTGCTTTGTGGGAAGCCTGCTTCTCCCTCTCCCTCCCCTCCCCCTTGTGTTCCCTCTCTTTCTCTCTGTCAAATAAATAAAATAAAATACTTTTTAAAAAAACTAATAATTCAGAGTTAAAGGTTTCCCTCCTTTCCTCCTTCAGTCGTACTGCAGACGAAATGTGAAAATGACGTTTACTTGGCTTCCTTTTTTTTGTTGTTTTGTTTTGTTTTGTTTTTCTACCCTTTGGCCTTTTATTCCTCTTCATTTGCTAACTATGGCTTCTGGCCCTTCCAGGATTGAGAGAGGCAAAAGTTGAGTAAGAGGACAAGGTCTTTGATACTAGTAAAAACAATATCAGCTTTATATAGCATTTATTTTGTACTAAGTACAGTACTTTACATATATTATTAGGCCAATTAATCCTCACAAGTCTCTGAGTTAGGTTCTGCTATCCCTTTCTTACTGTTGAGGGAAGTAAGGCACAGTTTAATGACTTGCCTAAGGTCATACAGCTTAATAAACTTAGAAGGCAGTACAAGGATGCAGACCCAGCACTCTAGCTCCAGAGCCCCATCTCAGTCACTCTACTCTATTGCTTTTATATTCTGTTGGGAAGTGGTAAGCATACTTCATAGTCTTTGCCAGAGTTTAAATTAGACTTGAACCCTTTCGATTTTTTCCAAGACCTAAGACATTTTCCATAGACCTAAGTACATTTTCCATAGACCTAAGACAGAGAGCAAACATGTCTCAACTCTTTCCCTTGCAGAAGAGTGGGAGGGAGTGGGATGGAGTTTGGAACTCAAAGCACACTGATTTCTGTTGCAAAAATCCTTTTGTAATATTTAACTCTTTGAACATTGAAGGTGGGTATAACTCAAGGTTGAAAAACAGTTTTCTGGGGCGCCTGGGCAGCTCAGTCGGTTAAGCTTCTGTCCTCAGCTCAGGTCATGATACCAGGGTCCTGGGATGGAGCCCTGTGTCAGGCTCCCTGCTCAGCAGGGGGCCTGCTTCTCCCTCTCCCCCCTGCTTGCTCTCTCTGTGTCAAATAAATGTATAAAATCTTAAAAAAAAAAAAAAAAAGAAAGAAAGAAAAAGAATTTTCCACTACCTTATTGCATAGGTGGCCTTGCATCTCACTTTTGGCCAGCAGTATCTGTTTGAGTCCTCCACCCAAGCCAAGATTGAAATGGTTTCATTTTAAGACCCTGTTGCACATGTTCTCCAAATGCTCTTTAATTCCTTGCCTTCACACCTTTGTTCCTGCAGATGGTCCCCAGATTAAGATTGTATCACTTGCTCTGAAGACATGTGGTTTCCTCCCTGAACCACATGATCCCAATCAAACCAAGCACTCTTAATGGCCAGGCTTTTAAAGAAGCCAGTTTACTGTGGTGTAGCAAAACTTAATAACTTAAAAACTTAAAGTCCTTCCATTTTCTTCCTTTTCATGTCATTCTTATGAGAAAAATCAGCAATGTTAAAACAGTGGTTTGCTTAGACCAATTTTAGCTGTCTAGTGTATTGTGGTTACTTGTCTTTGGGAAGAGTATATGAAGTATATTTGAACTCATCTCTGATAACAATCAAGGTAATGATTTCAGTGGCCTTACCTGGCTGTCTTGGCACAGGGCTTTATGCCTTTTATCCTTTCTGTTGTGTTATCCCAGGTTGATAATTTTGTCTTCCCATTTTAGAATATTCAATGACCTTATATTTATTCAGCTAGAAATCTTTAGGTTTTTCTTTTTTCCCCTTTTACATACACTTTTATCTGCATAGTACATTCAAAGGGATATTTATCAAATGGATTGTTTGATGTTTAAACTGAAACTGCCCTCTGCATGCTAACTTTTTTTTTTTTTTAGAGATTTTATTTAATTATTGGGGCAGCAGGGAAGGACAGAGGGAGAGGGAGAAGCAGATTCCCCACTGAGCAGGGAGCCTGACACAGGTCTTGATCCCAGGTTCCCAGGATCATGACCTGAGGCGAAGGCAGGCTCCCCTTTACTTTAAAAAAAAAAAAAAAAATTAATTCCAGTATAGTTAGCAATGTTATATTAGTTGCAGGTGCATGCTCACATTTAGAATGTCATACAGTGTAGCACATTAACAATTTGTTGCACAGGGAAGGCCCATCAGGATGGTGAACACTCACTGAGATCATGTGTGAACCCATAATAACCTGGAACTCCTTTCTGCCTTATCACCTGGCAGAATTCTGCTTTCATTAGGCCCCATCCTCTGTGATGCGTCTTCTCCCTTGTACATTCAAAATTAAGTATTTCATTCATTGCTTTCACATAGCACTGCTGCACACCTTTTGTAGTCTTGGTTAGGAACATGCCTTTTTATAAGGACTGTAAGCTCAGGGAGGTCGAGGACAGTGTTTTATTTGTACTTAATGTTCCTCCCTTCACATAATAGAGTACCTCACATTTGGCAAATCTGCTATTGAGCAAAATCAGTTATAATTTGACTGTTAGAATACCTGACTCAGTCTTATTAATATTTCTGCCCAAAACAAGGGAGGTAAAAATAGTAAAGTTATGCTCAGTTATAATCCTACCATACCTAACCATACTTGCATGCAGTTCTGGGGACCAGTATTAAAGGAACATTGAAAAGTGGAGATGGTTCAGAACAAGGATGTTAATTAGATTTTAAGGAGCTCTTAAAGGGATTAGGGATGTTTAGTTTAAAGAAGAGAAACCATAGGAACGAGTGTCATGTGATTGCCATCTTCAGTTTTTTAAGACTTTTTTGAGGGAAAAGAAAAAGTAGACCTAGTTCATATGACTTTAGAGTTTGAACCAAGAGGACCTGAAACCCTAGTTGTGTAGCAGTATGCTAGGGTTTTTTTAAAGAAAAAAATTTGCTTAATGTGCAAAAAAAGAGAGAATAAATACCCACACTCCTACCAGTGATTCCCTTGAATATGATGAAAGCTGTTGTACATAGATGCAGACTTTATTCTGTACAGTTTCAGAAGGATTATGGCTCTCTTGGGAATTCATGAATCTCAGGTTAAGACTACATGTTCTCTTGCTCCATGTGTGTGATGTGGATACAAACACTCTAATCACATTTTTCACCAAATACATAGTAATATATACTACTGTTGAGTGTCCACTATATGTCAGTAATTAGGCATTCATTTAATATTCAGAACCAAACATTTTTCCAAGTCTATTAAAGATTCATTTTTAGCATCTTTTAAAATTGATAGCTGTATTTTTGAAGTATTTGAAATCTTTTTTATCTAGAGATAATTTCCAGAGTGACTTTGTTTTACACTTATTTCAGTACTAACAATAAAAAAAGGTTATAACAGATAAAATAATTAATGTACAGGGGCGCCTGGGTGGCTCAGTGGGTTAAAGCCTCTGCCTTCGGCTCAGGTCATGATCCCAGGGTCCTGGGATCGAGGCCCACATCGGGCACTCTGCTCAGCGGGGAGCCTGCTTCCTCCTCTCTCTCTGCTTGCCTCTCTGCCTACCTGTGATCTCTGCTGTCAAATAAATAAATCTTTAAAAATAATAATAATAATTAATGTACATAGTTGTATTTTTTTTACACTGGAGAAGTCTGTGATCTAAGAGTCAAAAGACCCAGATTATAGCTTTGGTTGTCATTTGTTAGTCATGTAACTTTTCTGAGCATTAACTTTCTTAAATCTTTATTAAAAGGTCTCCCTGATTTCGCATAAGCCTCCCTGACTTCACATAGAGGGTATAAAGAGAAGTTAGGGGGAAAGTACTAAAAAACTGAAGCATTATTAGATGTGCTATATTAAAACTATTTGAGAATGTCAGTTTTTTATATTTTTAGTAAATGTGAAATCTGATAAGGGCAAACTAACTTCTTTCTTAAGGGGAAAATCCAATCAACTGATGGATTTCTAACCACTTTTTTATAAATTTATTTCCAGAAAGTTTGTTTCATTGTATTAAGAACATAAACAATAAAAATAACTGGTTTCATTTGTTGAGCATTTACAAAGTGCCAGGTACTGTGCTAAGCATTACTTAAGCATTGTTTCATTTATAGGTAACAGGTTGTTACAGGTAACAATCATGGAGGAATTGTTGAGGAAAGAATCCAGGCCCATCACATTCTAAATCTTGAAGTCTTAATATCCCTTATATTTAATCACTTTATATCCTAAAAGAGGCAATATATAGCATTAAAGTTGTTAAGAGGGGAGCTGTGGAGCAGCCTGTCTGGATTTGAACCTTGGGTCTGCCACTCAGTGACTTCTGACTTTAGCAAAATAGTTAACCCTTTTCTGTTAATCAGGAATAATAATGTCCTCATTGATAGGACAGTCAACTAAATTATCAAATGTGAAGTTAGAACAGTGTTTGGCACATAGAGAACACTCTAAATTATAAATATATAATTGTCTTATATACAAACTATTATTATTTAAAACTATCCAGCTCATTAAAACATTAGCTCACAGACTCCACTGGTAAGAGTCTGAGGGAATGGTAAGGAGAGTATATTTTAATATATTCCCTTCCTTGAACTTTCTCACTACCATCCTTCAGCTTTGTTTATTTAGCACAGTGGCCACATGAAAATAATGTAAATCACCTTCTATTTCAACCACTATACCACCAATTAATGCTTATTTTATGTATTTTTTAGGACATTTCTGATTCATTTGCATCCTTGAAGAGCATCTGTAGAAGAGGAAGGAAAAGATGGGTGTGAAAACATTTACTCATAGCTCCTCTTCCCATAGCCAGGAAATGCTTGGAAAGCTAAATATGCTGCGAAATGATGGACATTTTTGTGATATCACTATTCGTGTCCAGGACAAAATCTTCCGGGCACATAAGGTGGTACTAGCAGCTTGCAGTGATTTCTTTCGCACCAAACTTGTAGGCCAAGCAGAGGATGAGAACAAGAATGTGTTGGATTTGCATCATGTTACAGTGACTGGCTTTATACCCCTTTTAGAATATGCTTACACGGCCACTCTGTCAATTAACACAGAAAATATCATTGATGTTCTAGCTGCAGCCAGCTATATGCAGATGTTTAGTGTTGCTAGCACCTGCTCAGAGTTCATGAAGTCAAGCATTTTATGGAATACACCCAACAGCCAACCAGAAAAAGGTCTAGATGCTGGACAAGAAAACAACTCTAGCTGCAATTTTACTTCTCGAGATGGAAGTATATCGCCGGTGTCTTCAGAGTGCAGTGTGGTAGAAAGAACCATTCCTGTCTGCCGAGAGTCCCGGAGAAAGCGCAAAAGCTACATTGTTATGTCTCCTGAAAGTCCTGTAAAGTGTAGCACACAAACAAGTTCTCCCCAGGTATTGAATTCTTCAGCTTCCTACTCAGAAAATAGAAATCAACCAGTTGACTCTTCTTTAGCTTTTCCCTGGACTTTTCCTTTCGGAATTGATCGAAGGATTCAGCCTGATAAGGTTAAGCAGGCAGAAAATACCAGGACTTTAGAATTACCTGGCCCATCTGAAACGGGGCGAAGAATGACTGATTACGTGACTTGTGAGAGCACAAAAACTACCTTGCCTTTGGGTAGTGAAGAAGATGTCCGGGTCAAAGTAGAAAGGTTAAGTGATGAGGAGGTCCATGAAGAAGTGTCTCAGCCTGTCAGTGCATCTCAGAGTTCACTGAGTGATCAACAGACAGTGCCAGGAAGTGAGCAAGTCCAAGAAGACCTTCTGATTAGTCCACAGTCTTCCTCTATAGGTATAATGTCTTCTATGTTTTTCATGATATTGTAAAGTCAACTTGAGCATTTTTTTTTTCAATTTGAGCATTTTTAAGTTACCTTTTAAGATACAAGTTTTGTGCTGGATCCTGTAGGAATCATGAAAAAGAATAAAACAATGGTAACTGGATTTTTTTAGATACTTATTAGTGCTATTTTTTACAAGCTATGCACTGAGAAAGAAAATAGCTGAACAATTTCTGACAGGTCAAAGGCAGATTGTGTTATATATGAATTGTGAATTATTTTCAATGCAGAATATACCAGTTTTTAAAAATCCAGTTAGTGTTTTATTCTTTGTCAAAATATTTGCTGAAAACTTACCCTGTGCCAAACATTGGGGATATATGATGAAAAAGACATCGTCCCTGAATCTCAGGGTTTAACAGTCTAATTGAGGAAGGCGTGAATCAGTGATTAGTACTAGGCTAGACATATGAACAAAGTGTTAAGGGTCACAAAGGACAGAGCAAGTTAGCACTATATATTTGAACTGGATTTTTGTCAGTAAATACGAGTTTGCACACGAGAGGAAATGACTTTTCTTTGAAAATGAATGAGAGCCCAGAGATGTGGAAAACCATTGCATGTTTGGGAAGCGGCAAATTCAGTTTAAAATGATGTGAATAAACCCTGGAAGCCTGCAAGTATTGGAAATAATGAGAGATAAGACAAAATGAGCAGTTGAGAGCATATCACAATCTTTTTTTTTTTTTTTAGATTTTTTTATTTATTTATTTGACAGAGATCACAAGCAGGCAGAGAGGCAGGCAGAGAGAGAGAGGGGGAAGCAGGCTCCCCGCTGAGCAGAGAGCCCGATGCGGGGCTCGATCCCAGGACCCTGAGATCATGACCCGAGCCGAAGGCAGCGGCTTAACCCACTGAGCCACCCAGGCGCCCCATATCACAAACAGTCTTAAACACTGGTTTCAGTTAGTATTACATTTAACTACATCTAACAGATCCCATCGAAGTGGCTTAGACAAAATGGGGCTTTATTTTTATCACATAAAATGTTCAGAAGTATGAAGTCCAGGACTGGTACGGTGGCTTTACAGTGTAATCAGTGTGGCCTAGGTGCCTTCTATATTTATAATCAACCGTCCTTAGTTTGTCAGCTTCATTCATATGCTAATTGCTTCATAGTTAAGAAAATGCTTGCTTCATCTTTAGCTTCATATTCTAGAAAGGGGCAGTGCTTATATCAAGAAAGCACAAACATTCCCAGAAATCCTTTTAAAAAACTGCCAGATTATGTCATGTGATCTTTCCTAGCTGTAAGGTAATCTGAGAAGTTATGTCTATTAGTAGGATATAGAACTGCCTCAAAATTGGAGGAGAACGGATACTATGTGCAACTAGCAGTGTTTGCCACAGCTAGGCCACATAAGCTTGAATGTTATCCTTGTGGTAGTAAAGAGTCTACCTTAAAGGGAATAAAAATAAGACACTTAAAGATATTTAGGAAAATTAATTTGGTAATAGTTTGCAGGGGGAGTTCTTCTGGGCAGAGACCGTCTCAGAAACTAGTTACAGTAGAGTTGCTTTTGTATGAATGAAGATGCTTAGAGTAAAACTATAAAGGCATAAGAGACTTTATAAAGGAAGAATCATTACTACCTGTGTGTGATATTGAATATGTGGATGGAGGGAATGGAAGGGGTTAGAGAACTTTAGATGACTAGAAAAATGGGGATAATATTTTATTATATTCACTGATTCGAAGTCATAATTTTTCATAGGAGCTATATCTTAACAGTTAATCTTTTACAGTTATTTTTTCTTAATGGTAAAAAAATAATGGTAATTATATAATGGATAGGAGTCTATTAAATTCAGTTACTGTAATATGAAAATCAGTGGAAGAAGATGGGAACCTAGTTTTAAGAGTAAGTCAGCAAGGTCAATTCTGTGTGAATTATGCTTTGGTGTAACCACGTAATGTCATGCTACAAAGCAATTGAAAAAGCAAGATTGGTGAAATCAAGACTGAAGATTACCAGTTCAGGGCTTTTCTTTAGTATGGTAACTTTTTTTCTGTATTCTGACAGATTGAACCTCAATAGGAAAATATATATATAAGCTGAAACCAAAGGACCGATCCTTGAGAAATACCTATATTCAGGGAGAGAAGAACAGCCAATAAAGATTAAGAAAGAGGATTTCTCTATTAGATTGGAGAACCAGGAATGCCATATTAACTTTGTTGATTTCTTGAATTTTGGCCCACTTTGTGTTGTCACTCCAAAGTGTACTTTCAGACTGGATGATACAAAACAATAGTTTATTCTCTCATTTTTCAGAAGGCCAGAAGTCTGAAATCAAGGTGTTTGGCAGGGCCATGCTCCCTTAGGTTTTAGAAGACGGTTCTTTTCTTGCCTCTTCCTAGCTTCTGGCAGTTACTAATACTCCTTGATGTTCCTCATCTTGTAGTTGCATCCCTCTGATTTCTACCTCCATCTTCAAGTGGCCTTCCTGTGTTTCTGCCTACAAATCTCCCTTACCTTATAAGGACACTGGTCTTTGGATCAGGGCCTGCCCTACTCAGGATGACCTCATCTAACTTGATTACATCTGCAAAGACCATATTTCCAAATAGGGTCACATTCCTACATACCAGGGGTTAGGACTTGAATATAGCTTTTTGGGAGACATAGTTCTATCCACAGCACCAACTAAAGATCATATACCCGAATTTGGGTCAAGGTGGTTTTTTTTTTCTTTTTTTCTTTTTTCTTTTTTTTTTTTTAAGATTTTATTTATTTATTTGACAGAGAGAGAGAGATCACAAGAAGGCAGAGAGGTAGGCAGAGAGAGAGGGGGAAGCAGGCTCCGTGCTGAGCAGAGAGCCCAATGCGGGGCTTGATCCCAGGACCCTGGGATCATGACCTGAGCCGAAGACAGAGGCTTTAACCCACTGAGCCACCCAGGCGCCCACTTTTTTCTTTTTTTTAATTTTAATTCCAGTATAATTAACACAGTGTTATTTTAGTTACAGGTGTACGATATAATGATGCAACATTCTGCACATTACTCAGTGCTCATCATGATAAGTGTGCTCTTATCCCCCTCACCCATTTCAGTCACCTCCCCTGTGGGGAGGTTCTCAATATTTGAGTTCTCAGTTCTCTGTATTTGAGTCTGTTTTTTTGGTTTTGCCTTGTTTTTCTTTGTTTATTTGTTTTGTTTTTTAAATGCCACTTATGAGTGAAATCACATGGTATTTGTCTTTCTCCGACTGACTTACTTCACTTAGCATTATACCTTCTGGATCCATCCATGTTATTGCAGAGGCAGGATTTCATTCTGTTTTATGGCTGAGAAGTATTCCTTTGTGTGTGTATGTGTGTGTACACACTGCATCTTTAACCACTCATCTATTGATGGACATGGGTCAGGATACTTTTGAAGAATTTCAGTGACCACACATTCAATAAAGTATTTAATGTTAGCTATTTGTTCATATGACCAAGTTTTTTTGTTAAATTACTAGTCTTTACTCCTCAAACACCTTCTAAATAATGAACTATTTAGTGGATATTATTATTTTAATCATTTTATCTGAGAACTTAGAAACCAAATATTAATCTAACTCAATATCTTGCTAACTAGGCATGTGAAATAGTCTGATTTTAACCACTCAGGTGTATCTAATCAGTTGAGATTTGCCTTTCTGTCTTAATAACATGACTAAATAGAGAAGTTAGACTTAAATAGAATAAACCTACCAGTTATATAACTATGATTTACTTCCAATATATACTGTCAGATGTAGATTCTGTTATAAAGCTGACATGTGAATAACTATGATAGGAATATCACAGAATCAGATAATCCAAAGGAGTTGTTTTCCTTGCCTTCATAGTAAATGTACTAATCACTCTCAATTAATCTATCTTAACTCCAAATCTATACAACAAAACAAAGCTTTACAGTACAAAATTCCTAGAGTATAGTAGGCACTCAAAAAATGTGGGCAGGAGAAAGGAAAAATATGTATGTTAACTTTTTTTCTGTATTCTATCTATAAGAATACTCATAAGAGTACTTAATTTTACTACTGATTTATTAAAGAAGATAGCTAAAAGGTAGTTTGTCTTTCCTAGGGACTGAGAATATAATATTTAACCCATTATTAAAAAAAATTTTTTTAAGATTTTTATTCATTTGAGTTGAGAGAAAGAGAGCTTGAGCAGGAAGGAGGGGCAGAGGCAGAGGGAGAAGCAGACTCCCCACTGAGCTGGGAGCCTGATGTGGGGCTCCATCCCAGGACCCTGAGATCATGACCTCAGCTGAAGGGAGACACTTAACTGACTGAGCTACCCAGGCGCCCATTATTACAAAATTCTAAAATAATAATTTGATAATTCATGAAGTTAACTTAGATAGGATTTTGCCTGTTCTTTTAAGTTCCCTTTTATTGCCATTTGGCCCAACAGGGGGGTTGTAAAATCTGACAACCCCAGTTTAGGGCAAATAGAAGCAATAAATACAGCAAATTTAAAAGAGAAAAATAGTATGCTAGTTTTCGGTTGGGTCTTTGTACTCAAAAAGATGGTCATCAATATCTGATACAGTTTTTAAAAAATGTAAGTGAGATGGCTTTATTATTTGTCTTGAAGTATTCAATTATCTTTAGGCACTTCACAAAGACAAAATAAATAGCTCTAGATAATCCACAGTTTCCTATGTTAAAGGAATTCAGTTTTTTCTAAACTATAAAATCTGTCATCAAAAGTAAAGCGATTGTTACAGGGGTCAGTTATATTAAGAGATAATTTGACAGTTTTCTCAGTAGCAGTAGTGAATAGATAATTGGCAACTAGAATAATGGTAGGATTACAACATTGATCATATGGGAAAGTAGTATAATGATTAAAAGTTCAGGGGTTGGAGTCAGATCTAGAATCTGCTACCAGTTTCTGCCACATAATAGGTGTATGACTTTGAGGAAATCATTTAACCTCAATGAGTTCCT